CGAAGTCCTCGACGGTCTTGGCCGCGACGGTCTTGGCCGTGGCGCACCGCCGAGCCTGCAGAACGCCGACCGGAACGTGGTCATCATCCACTCGGACAAGAACTCGCGTGTGGTCGTGAACAACGACACTGTAGAGCTGATTCCCACCCCCAAGAAACAGCGCGGCAAAAGTCTCCAGCAGCAAGCCCCTATCAAAGAGAAGGCGAGCAAAAGCAGGTATGGTCACCTACCGCCCGTGTATGCCTCCGTCGGCTCCGGCCACGTCTCCTTCTCCAGTCCTTCGGGCGCCACTTTTAGCCCACTGGCACTCGCCAGCCACAGCCCCTACTCACTCGCTCCCGTTAACGGAGTTGTCCCCGGCAGTGGAGTCGTCCCCGGTAACGGGCTTGCCGCCACGGGAATCACTACTCCTGCGCTGGTTCCTGCCGGCTCCGGACTCTCCGCAGTTGACGCGGACAGCCGGACGCTGAACGGACACAATACACACTCTGGACGCCACTCCGACATGAACACCGCGCGCATGATCTGGGTGCCGGTTACCGAAGCCAAGAAGATCATGGCCGACGTGCGCAGCTCCGACAACCGCAAACACAGCTCCGATGTCCGCAGCTTTGACGACCGTGGCAAAGAAGAAGCAGCGATCTCCCTCGCAGCCGCGCCGAATAAAGCCCCTGTGGCCCTAGCAAAAACACCCATAGCAACCATCCCGTCGCCCACCGTGCAATCCGCACTACCGCTGCCTGCTCCAGCGGCTATCCCGCTGCCTGCTCCAGAGGCTATCCCGCTGCCTGCTCCAGCGGCTATCCCGCTGCCTATATCTGGTGGGCTGCTGGACGCGTCTTCCCCGGCCGTGTTGGCCACCAGCACTAGCGGCGCTACCGTGCTTGCGACCAGCTTGGCCGAGGACGAAGAGGATGACGAAGACGACGTTCCGTTCTTCATCAGCGCACGAGCCGCGGACTTGGACGCGGGTCTGTTCCATAACTTTATTTCGTCTATTGGCGACTTCTCCGAAGACGCGACGGAGGACTACGAGGCCGCAAGCGGCGACGGAGACTCCTTATTGGTGCCTCTGATGATCCTCGAGGGCCCACCCGATCTCGCTGAGGCCGCCGTTGTTTTGCAGGAAGAACTTAACCATGACGGAGAGGATTCTGAGACAAAGTCCGCGGCTGCGGACTTTATCGCTGCAGACCTGATGAAGAGCGAGGAGGCTGAAAACGCCCCCGCCCCCGCCTCCCCCACACAGACGCCGGTGCTCCGGCTGCGAAGATCCAACGGCCTGGTCGCTTCGCTACTCAGGCCTAGGCGGTGATCTTCACTCCAGACACCCCCCCCCTCTCCCAGCCTCCCTCGGCCTCCCTCCCGGCCTAGACGACATCGTTCTGAATGTGGTCGAACCGATTTGCCGCACCAAGCTTAAGACCAAGCTTAAGACCACAATATTTTTACTCTTAAAATGAAACTGATAGCAGACGCTAGCCAGGACTTCAAGACGTCCGCGCACCCCGACGTCTGGCGTGCGGTCGGTCTGCTCACGACGGTTCTCGTTGCCGTCGCATACTACATCGGCGCCGCGATCATTTTTGCAATTCCCTACGCCGCCTACCACTGGCGAGAGCCGGTGGCGCTCGCGTATCTGGTGGTCGCGGCCGTACTCGTCCTGGGGCCGGCCGCGCCCGCGAAACAGATCAGACATAGCCGGTATGCGATAATAGCACGGAGTGTGTGCGCACACGGCAGGGGGTGTGTGCACACAGGGCAGGGGGTGTGCGTGAGTTTCACGACTAGAGTGTGCACGCACGAGCAGGAGATGTGCACGCACGAGCAGGGGAAACACGAACAAAGGTTTGCTTGCAGGTTGTACAAGTCGGTGGCGTTATACTTTGATGCCAAGGTGTTTGCGGAGGATGAGATGTCGCTGATGAGTCATCACCCGAAGCCCGTACTGATTCTGAATTTTCCCCACGGGGTGATCTCATTTGGTGGATGGTGTGTGGGTTCTCTTTACTACGCTCGTGAAGCCGTGACAGGGTGTGCTGATGCTGTGGTGCGTCTACCTTTCCTGCGTCAGTTGTTGGGTCCTTTTGGCATGGTCAGTAGCAGCCGTGTGCCGATGCGAGAGGCGCTTTGTTCGGGTATGGATGTATGTCTGTATTCCGGTGGGTTGGCGGAGCTGTTTTTATGTCGGCGTGACAAGGAACAGCTCTACTTTAAACACCGGAAAGGTTGCATCAAATTGGCGATTGAGAGTGGCGCGGATGTGCGACTCTGTTACATGTTCGGTAACTCAAGCATGTTTGATCTTCTTTGTGGACCCTATACTGCCTGGCTATCCCGACATCTGCGCATATCAATGTGCCTCTTTTGGGGCCGCTGGTTCCTACCCGTGCCACACAAAACCAAAGTAATCGCCGTCTTATCGCGCACTATAACCATGCCGGACTACAGCAAGAACCGAGAAAGCATCACACCCGCTCTTATACAACAACAGCATGACATCGTACTCAAGGAGCTACAGAAACTCTTCGACGAACACAAACACCTCCATCCAGAATATGAGGACAAACAACTCATTTTTGTCTAATGATAGTGTGATGGATGAACCGACTTAACTTTTACGTGTGCAGACTTCACAAACCATTTGCAACGAAGGGTGCATCTCGCATCAACCCGCTACCTGAGGATGCTTTTCTCTTCGTACATGACCCCCCAATTATACAGGGTCACCGTGAACTATCACCGTGAACTATCACCGTGAACTATCACCACGAACTATCACCACGAACTATCACATGAACTATCACCATGAACTATCACCGTGAAAGAGGGTGTACCTGATGGGCGACAACCGGCACCGCTTGCTCGACGGTGATGAGTTTCTTCTCTATCAGTTGATTGTATATATGTATACACTCTAGTGCCTTCTCTTTTCCGAGTGGCGCGTCACCCGCTACCTGCAAGCTTCGGGTAGCGGCCCGAATCAGTTCTTCCGTGTCTTTATTTTCTCCGTCGCCACAGGCCGTGGCAAAGACCTGCGGGTACTGGGCCAACAATTGCAACGCACGGTCCGGTCTCAGCATGTGATACATGTTCATTAACCCCTGCACCTCCAATGCCTTGTCAATCACCTTTTGCTTCGTCAACTCGATCTCCCGCTGCAAGGATTTCGCCAACAATTTTTGCATGCCGATAAATTCATCCTCCTCGTCCTCAATACCACGACCAACTGCGAACCATACTCATGAAGGGGGGGAGGGGGAACTGACCGAAGGGAGGGAGGGAGGGGAACTGACCGGAGGG